ACGGGGGATTTCACCCAGTGGTTATAGCCATTAATTTCTGTTTTTTTAAGGCGTTTATGACCTAATTAATGATCATTAATAAACTCGCTTTAAACCATTCCCAAACCCATTACAGGGGTAGTCTTATTCTAAAGTGAAGCCTTTATATCTTTATTTATTCCCACGTTTCTAAGGATGTTATATTGACGAGTTCCTTTACAAGGTACAAACGCTGTGAATGTGCCTTCAGAAAGAGGAGAAATCTGAGCCTCTTCAATCAACCATTTCACTTCAAACCACTCCGAATGACTCTGTTTACATCGCAAACTCATTTTAAAAATTGTTGGAATTCCCCTTTAACAGCTCTATATGGTTTGAGGCAAGAGTGATGACGACGTAATTTATAGTAACAAGTGTGGATTCGTCTTTGCTTGTATTGTGTGTGTGTGTGTGTGTGTGTATGTTCCTGTCTGGTGTTGGGCCATCCTTAGACCCCCCCCAACCCTCACTCCCACCTCCCCAGCTCCCAGAAGCCCACCCCCCACACTCTAACGCAATGTTAATGAGCCGCACTTCTTCCTGTTACTCCCTTCACACTCACTGAGAGGGACTGGAGCACATCAGCTCCTCATTCACTCCTGTGTTTACACTGAGTTCGGTATTTAACTCTCATCAGTGTGTGTGAGTGTGTGAGTGTGTGTGAGTGTGTGTGTGAGTGTGTGTGAGTGTGTGTGTGTGTGTGAGTGTGTGTGTGAGTGTGTGTGAGTGTGTGTGTGAGTGTGTGTGAGTGTGTGTGTGTGTACGAATGTGTCAGTGCTGTGCTCACTCAGTCAAGGCTATTTATCACTTCCTGACAGCCCTCCTTTAACCTTCACTGCTGTCACTGTGTGTGTGTGTGTGTGTGTGTGGGGTATATTGGTCTCATAATGTGATTGAAACACTGAGTTCGTTTACATGCACTCAATAATCCGATCAGAATCAGATTTCTGCAGTTATCTGATTATTCAAATGGTCGTGTAAACAGCACACTCTGATTTCTTAGGCCGGAGTAAGGTCTAGAAATCCGATTAAGAAATCCGACTGAGAGAGCTGGATTTTAGCTCAGTAATCAGATTTCTCAGTGCATGTAAACTCTTACTCTTTCTTTTATTGGCTGGTTGTAAAGCAGAAATCTGATTACTGTCTGACTCATGGAGACCTGGAGTTTCCCCATTATCTGATTACTCAAGTGCATGTTAACACGTTGATCGGATTACTGACAGAATCTGATTTTCTGCAGTTATCGGATTATTAAGTGCATGTAAACAGACTCAAACTCAACAGATACTGAGTGATTGTGCACTCACTATCTGTTCTGTCTCGCCAGTGTAGCTCTTCTATTTTGTTCTTATTTGTTTGTTTTTATCCGATTTGTTTCGGATGCGTTGTTTTTTCTTTTCTTTGATCAGTAGCCACGTTTACATGCAGGCTAATAATCCGTTAATAATCCGACTAATAGCTCAATCGGAATAGTCTAGTCCGATTGAGGCCACTGGAAATACAATCTCTGTTTAAAAACTCCAGCAGCACTGCTGTGTCTGATCCACTCAGACAAGCACAACACACACTAACACACCACCACCACGTCAGTGTTACTGCAGTGCTGAGAATGATCCACCACCCAAATAGTACCTGCTCTGTGAGGGTCCATGGGGGTCCTGACCACTGAAGAACAGGGTAAAAGGGGGCTAACAAAGTATCAGAGAAACAGATGGACTACAGTCTGTAACTGTAGAACTACAAAGTGCACCTATGTAGTAAGTGGAGCTGATAAAATGGACAATGAGCGTAGAAACAAGGAGGTGGTCAGAATCTTATTCCTGATCGGTTTAGTTCTATAACACTGTTTATATGAACAGTTTGGACTTTTTAAAACTTTTTTCTGAACTTTAATTTTGCCTAATAACTTGCTTAACTATTACCTCAATGCCAGACTTATGCTGTTTCTGACACACTGTTATCTATAAACATGGACTAATTTATGTCGCAAAGAAAAACAGTCCAAATGTTTTCTGCCCATTTTTACAGATAACAAATTCCAGACACCAAACTTGTCCTGTCTGACCAGCTACATTTGGCGTAAGGAGTGAAAACGTGTTTATCCAAACAGTTCCTTTAAAGCAGCAGCGCTAAAACAGAGCCTGTACTGCAGGGAACTCTCAGAAACAACACGGACTCAGACGTTTAACTCTTCATGACTTTTTAATAAACTTGATCACATACAAACTCCACAATATGGTTCTTTTTCCCTAAAACATCTTATTTACATCAATATTCACATCTTTTTTACATAATCACTTTACATACAGATAAAGCCGTCACAAAGACAAACGCATCACTCACACACACACACACACACACACACACACACACACACACACACACACACACACACCCACACACACACACACACATACACACACACACGAGGCACACAGTAAAACGTCGTAAAAAGGCAGTTTAGAGCTTCTGTTCTTTCACCCATTTGGTTTCTCCACACATTTAGTGCATGATAAACACTGAACGTCAACAAAAACAACAACAAAACAAAAACAAACAAACAGGAGAGATTCAGTGTGAAACTGTCAGATACACTGTTCAAAAGTTTGGGTACACCGAGCTTTACTCTTAACTGTGTTTGATTTTCACTCTAAGCATAAAAAAATCCCTGCAAGGTTTTGTTAGCATGTGTGTTAATCTACCGACTACACTCAAAAAAAGATGGTTCTTCAAGGGTTCCTTGGTAAAGACGGTGGTTCTATATAGAACCATGAACACTCAAAGAAGCCCCTGCATGGTAAAAAAGGTTCTTCAGACTGATAGCACCAAAAAGAGTTCTGTTGTTGTTACAATAGCAGAACCCTTTTTGGTCCCATTAAGAACAACTTGAAAAAGGTTCTACACAGATATATACAACACATTCTCCATCAATCTGAAGGACCTTCTTTTATAAGAGCGCATCTTCACCTCCGACACTCAACACACCTCAGTTTATCAAATTATTTGACAGTTTTCTCTTTTTTAACTGTTGTTAAAACCACATTATTGAACTCTTTTGGTCTGAAAGTGGTTTAAAACCCTGAAAGGTTCAGCGCTGTGAGTTCTGACATCACAAAGGGCTAAAAAGTGTGGCCTTTGGCTTTATTCCCAACCTAGCACGGTTAGCAACAGGGTACTTACACATATTGTCTTCATCTATTTGTAAATTGACCAAGTAAACCTGCTAATTTGTGTCTCAAACCGCTTGAAAAGCTATGTGTCCCCAAACATTTGATGGCCAGTGCCAGCGTCCAGCCTGAGTGCGGCTAACTCGGCGGCTAACTGAGCGAAACTCTCCATTTCCTACAGAAGCTTCCGGCTCTGATTCCCTCCAGAGGACTTTGTGTTTTGGTAAAGCTTCTGACTGAGCTGTGCAGCGCAGCTTTGGAGAGAGCGGAGCGCGAGGCCTGCGCTGCCAGCCGCGTTAGCGCTCGTGCTGCGTGTCCAGCGCCACAGTCAGTGGTCAGGCGTCAGAATTACACTAGGTTCTGTGATAAAAGCTCACAAAATACGCTGTTAACTTAAATAATCCTCTCACATTACATGTTTAACACAAAAGTTAAGTAAATAAAGTCCAGCCTTTTTCCAGAGACGACTAAAAATAGTCTAGATGATTCCGTTGGAAAGAACAGGAATGGCCAGCGGAGATCTGAGGGGACCCTGTCGGTTATATACGAAAATAAAAGAAAATATCGTACAGAGGGAGGCAGAGGGAAAGCGCTTCCAGCTTCCATTCAGTTAGCATGAAGCATGTGATAGTTAGCCGAGCTCCTATCCACTCAAGCACAATGCTAATCTCTCGTCTACAAGCAGCTTCAGCCTTGAGCTGGCTGTTGTGGCTCGCGCCAGACGCTAACATCAATTAGCCGTATAAGCACTGTTCTCCTCACGTATATAAAACCACTTAGGCTAGAAACAGTCAACGCAAGTGCGAGAATGAAAACAACAGCGCTCGGCTAACGCCTGGCCCTCCTGTGCTAACTCAGCGCATTTTTACGTTAAACACTCCGTACTCAAGGGGGCGCTAGAGGACAAATCAGAAAGGGAGCTACTGTTATTCCAACTAAACGTGAGAAGTTAGATTCTTTACCTGTTACATCAAAATGAAAAGGTAATTTTTTTAATATAAAATACATAAAATATGTAAATCTCGCTGCTGTCGGAACAAAACCTCGTATTTTTGTCGTTTTTCAGTTTTTCACATAATTTGAAAATAGCTGTTGTCCTTTACATCGTGTGTACATTTCATGATGAATGGACCAACAGAAGTGGCCAAAGAATAATAGGAAAAAATTCTGGTTCCATTGACTTACATTAAAAGTAAAGTAGGTTTTTTCCTTCTCCTGTAAAGTTATATTTTGGAGATATGAGGTTTTGATCCGACAGCATTTTATACATTATATATAGGAATATATATATAAAATCCTATGGTACGACAGTTAACTGGGAGAAAGCACAGTTTGACCAGGCTTTGCTGTTCCTATAGCGCCCCCTTGCTGCAATGCTCAGAACGCAGAATGCATTATGAATTACATTGTGACATTTTATAACACAACTCTGTGTGAAAACGTGTCTGTGTAGCTCGATGCGCCTGCGTTCGCGTACTTGCGTGAACTATGTTTCAGGCCTTGCTCCTCTATGCTACATATAATCTGGCTTCATTTGGTTTTTCATGCGTGCAGCATTCATCTCCGCGTTATTTCCCTTCTCACAGTCAGTGCAAATTTAAAATAAAAACACAGAATTATAATCTCGGTACCATTTTCAATATTCGCTGCCTCGTAAAAATAATGTATGACAACGTTTTTTGTTTTTAAGTGTTGTAAAATACTGTAAAATCTGGTGCGCTACATATATTCATTATAGCTTATGTACAGTGAGCCCTGAGGGGCGGCTGCTGATCGTCCTCTCTTCAGAGGCGCTAAATGTTTTTGTTATTTTTATTTTTTTTGGGAAGTTCACGCAAGAAAGCTCCCAAAGTCACAGAGTTTCCTGAGACGGTTCTTCTTCGCTCTTCTTGGCCCAGTTCGGCCAGATTTTGAGGCCGACAATCGTGACCTCCGAACTCAAAGGCATCCGGATTCTCTTTTCATCCGACTGGCTGGCCGTGGCCGTCGTGCTGTCTTTTCATTTCTGTCTTTCTGAGACGACAGCCAAGCTGAGGGATTTGCAGGAACACTCAGCTGGTTCTGGAGAGTCAAGGACAGTCACATTCCTTTCTTCTCCTCTTTCGCTCTCTTTCTGGGAGAGCTGGCGAAGGATGGAGTTTCATTTCCTCTGTCTTTCTCTCCTAATCAGCCGAGTGGCTCCAACACAGAAGCAGCATTAATGATGTTTTGTCTCTCTCTCTCTGTCTGTCTCTCTCTCAATGAGTGTCGAGGGTGCAGGGTATCTGCAGCTCTTGCTTGGCCTGCTCATACACCCTCAGGAAGTCTTTGTACCGCGGCGCACAGCCCAGCCACGCTTCCCCAAAGTGGATGTGTCCAGTGAACAGGAAGCTGCCCGAGCCCGTGCGAACGCCACAGCTCAGCGGCGTCCGGATCTCTCCGGAATGCGTCAGGCGGCCGTTACTGGAGAACAAGGCGAATTTCTGGCGGTAAACCCGGGTGGCGCTGACTTTGATCACCGCCGCTCGCAGGTCAGCGTCTGTGTCCACTGCACGGATGTTTCCTCGCACCACTAAACACACACAGAAGAAGGGATGTTAGAAAAAAAATGTCTACAAATTAAAAATGCACTTATAAATATTAATATTCTTTATGTTTGTGTGCTTAAAAAAATGTTTGTGTGTCTAAAAAAAACACACACACACAGATGCCCATTCAGTTGTGTGCAAAAGTCTGAACACCCCCAGTCTCCTGACTGAAAGTAAGTTATCACATCCTCTACAGGCAACAAACTTATATGGGACATTTATCTGCAAATATTGGTGCACAATTTCTATTTATTTGAGTTTAACATGTTGGACAAATAAAATAAGGTGTGCCATAACTTTTGCACAGGCCACATTTTTGTTTTTTTCTTCCATTATATTAAATTCAGCAAATAAACAGTAATTGTGTATTAGAATGTGCAGTAGTGTGTCTCTGTAGAGGACGTACACTCAGAAAATCAACATCATGCAATTCAAACAGGGGTGCACAAACTTCTGCACACGACTGTATATCACGGTTTATGTGGGTTCTCAGAGTGAGAACCTCCCACTGTGAGGTTTAAAGCTCCAGCAGTGAGGGCAGCGAGTGAGAACAGGAAATAACAACAGAGACGAGATCACACGTCACTTTTACAGCACACAGGTGTGTGAGTGGGGGTGAGTGCGTGTGAGTGTGTGTGTGTGTGAGTGTGTGTGAGTGTGAGTGTGTGTTGTGACAGGTGTGAGATTAAATCAGTTGATAAGAGTGTAAACTGCATGTAAATGTAATTCTCCACGTTACTAACTATGTAAAAGGCATTACAGTGTATTAGTACAGCTGAAATATTTACCACTGCTATCTGACCAAAACCTCGTATCTCCAAAACAGTAACTTTACAGGAGAAGTGAAAAACATACTCTACTTTGAATGTAAGTCAATGGAACCAGATGTTTTTCCAAGTAATTCTGGGTCGTTTCTTTTGGTCCAATCATCATAAAATTTATACACAATGTAAAGAACTACAGACATTTTCAAATTATGTGATAAACTGAAAAATGGCAAAAATTGGAGATACGAGGTTATATATATATATATATATATATATATATATATATATATATGAATGAGAATCCAGCTTTGTGGTGATCGCTCTGTTGTGCTATGAGTGGGTTTGGATATTTGGAGCTTTATGTTCTGTGTGTACGTTAGTTGATCCTGTTAGGGGTTTTGGGGGTTTCTATGGCTTTGACTCCAGTAATGTAATCCGCCCCTGAGTTCCCGAGTCACCATAGAGATGCCACTCTGTCTGACCACGTCTCAATTAGAGCTATACAGGGCTAAGCCACTGCACAGTCAGAATGGGGGGGGGTTATTCCATTAGAATGACTTTTAGAGCTGCGGCCTGAACTTTAACCTGACTTCAGCATACATTAGGCGCAGTGTGTGGGGCACAGCGGCTCTGACGGCACATGTATAAATCTGTGTGTGTGTGTGTTTGCGTGTGTGTGTGTGTGTGTGTGTGGTTTCTGAAACTTTCCCTCCAAATTCCAGTTTCCTGGCGAAAGCTGTGTGGTGAGGCTAAAAACACTCCCCGATTATGAAACGTCTCCCACTGTTTGTGGGAACTCCTGCATTTTCCACAGTGCTGTGTGAATGAAAGCAGAGCTGAAGATGTGTGTAACTCACCGAAGTCGCTGGTACACACTGCCATCAGCATTTCTGTATCGTTACACGGCCTGCAGGCTCCTGAGAGAGAGACAGAAAGAGAGAGAGAGACATATTTAGTCTTCGTTTCATGGACAGTAATCAATGGATACAACAATTTAATCCAATTATAGTTCCTGATTCCACTGAGATCAGTTTGCTTGGCCATTTTTCCACTGTTGTATTTTCTATAAGAGTCTGAATTGTGAAACTAAATTGGAGAGTGATTTTGACAATGCACACGTAATAAAGCTCGGCGGTTATTCGCATTTTCAATCACGAGTTTGGCTTCCAACAATTATAAAAACAACATAATTGAGATAAAATGATTTTTGTGCTGCATCCTGTTTCGCTCGTCTTATAAATCTGCTCTGAATTATAATTCATTTTTACACCCTGAACACACACACACACACACACACACACACACACACACACACACACACACACACACGCAAAGACACCCACACAGTTGTGTGCAAAAGTTTGAACACCCCCAGTCTCCGAACTGAAAGTAAGTTATCACATCCTCTACAAGGAACAAACTTAAATATGACATTTGTCCTCAAATTTTAGCGCACAATATCTTTTTATTTGAGTTTAACATGTCGGATAAAATAAAATATAAAATAGAAAGTGTGCCAAAACTTTTGCACAGCCCACATTTTTATGTTTATTTCTTCCAGTATGTTAAACTCAGTAAATAAACAGTAACTGTGCATTAAAAAGTGCAGCAGTGTGTCTCTGTAGAGGACGTGTTCACTTACACCTAAAAATCAACATAGAATTTGAGCAGGGGTGCACAAACTTTTGCACACGACTGTATATCACGGTTTATGTGGGTTCTCAGAGTGAGAACCTCCCGCTGTGAGGTTTAAAGCTCCAGCAGTGAGGGCAGCGAGTGAGAACAGGAAATAACAACAGAGACGAGATCACACGTCACTTTTACAGCACACAGGTGTGTGGGGGTGTGAGTGTGTGTGTGTGTGTGTGTTGTGATAGGTGTGACGTGTGTCACCTGTTCAAAAGCAGAAAGATTTAGGTGTGAAGGCCAAACACTACCTCACTACCTGCTTCCTCCCTCTGATCTGCTCTATACAGCCCAGCACTATAATCTAGAGACCACCGACACAGCCCCCACACCCCCCACACTCCTTTAGGAAGTCTCACACACTCTCCGTCTCACAGTTTAAGGTCCGATTTCACAGAAAACCAAATTTTCCTCACTTTTTTGGTATAAAAGAGTCTGATGTCGTATGTAAACAATGACTAAGTTTCTAAATGTGCTGTTCTCTCCTCAGTCCAGTCAGTCTGTACATGGAAAATGAGCCGTTTTGAATTCAGCGTTTTTGTGATGTCACAGAAACCAACACATTTACATATCTGTCCATTCAGCCTACAGTTTATCTCTACTGCCCTCTTTACATTAGAATTCAGAACCATTAGCCTATTGTGTTCACACACAGAGGAATCAGACCTCCACATTTAACCCATCCGTCAATGAAACACCCACATACATGCACACTAGTGAACACACACACTAGGGGGCAGTGAGCACACTTGCCCGGAGCGGTGGGCAGCCTTATCCAAAGTGCCCGGGGAGCAGTTGGGGGTAAGGTGCCTTGCTCAAGGGCACTTCAGTCACATACTGTCGGCTCAGGGGATCGAACCGGCGACCTTCCGGTCACAATTTATTCATTTTAATGTAATAATCCGCCTGGTCTTTTTAAATAATGCATAATTCCGGACAGCCAATCAGATCAGAGCTCATTTACATATATTAGCTTTAAAGGCATGGTAATAAATAGTGTGTTTAATTCTAAGGGATTAAGAGGGGTTGACAAATGGCCACAAATTATGAATTTTAGCACATAAAACATTATAATTTCAGGAAATGTTTAGGGAAAAAAATAAAATACAACATAAATGTGCAATACAGGCCCTTTAAATGCAAATAATCAGTGCTAAATTAAAGGTTTACTTCTTTAGCTTTGCACTAGTGCAAATGTGATGCAGCCAACAAGTAATGGAGGCTTTTATTTCACCGATTAGCATGAGGCTAACTGCACTTTCCTCAAACCGTGTTCAGCATCTCTAACAGACTCGATTATGTGGTTTCTGACACTGTGATCAATAAACATGCACTAAATTAGGTCACACAGTTAAAGCAGCAGCAGCAGCCTCAATTTTCTCTGTCCATTTTTGTCAATAACAGCGTGAAGCAAACTTCAGAGACCAAACATGACTCGGCCGGTCGACTACGACTGGGTTAAGGATCAAACTGAGTGAAATATATTTTTGGTTGGACTGCCCCTTTAAAGCCCTTGCGAGTGGAGGCAGGGCTGAGAGTTGAAAGCTCAGTTTTGCTGCTTGTGGATTTCTTCAGTGGAGGAGTTTTAAAGTGCTCCCCTCCTCCGATCACTTCTTCTCCGGACAATGGGTCCGTCTCTCAGCTGACCAGAGCCTCCGGTTACCACGGCTACCGCTCGCTCATGCGGCACGCTGAAAGGACGCCCCCCCACATACTGAGCTTTTGTCCTCCCCCCTCTCACCCTCCCCCTCTCTCTCTATGTCTCTGCCTGGCCGACTCCCCCAGTTCCCACCGAATCTTGCCCCCCCCCCGCCACACGGACTGCTTTCTGAGAGCCGCGGATTAGAAACTTCAGGGAAGTTGGTCTGAGAGGAAACGGCAGCGCAGGATTCATCGCAGACGTGGCTGTTTCGTGACAGTAATCCGACCTGACTGACCCGGCTGTGTGACCAAACGCCTCCTCTGAACATCTTTGACTACTTTACAGCGGTTTAAACCAAACACAGAGAGAGAGAGAGAGAGAGAGAGAGAGAGAGAGAGAGAGAGAGAGAGAGAGAGAGAGAGAGAGAGAAAAATGACTCTTACTATATATATAAGCCAATGAAGCCTACTGAAACTGGGCTGGATAGACAGACAAACAGACAGACAGACAGATAGACAGATAAGTGTATATATATATATATATATATATATATATATAGAGAGAGAGAGAGAGAGAGAGATAGATAGACATAACTATATAGACAGATAGATAGATAGACAGATAAGTATATAGACAGATAGACCAATAGACAGACAGATAAGTATATATAAGAGTTGCTGTTTGTACTCATAGAGCTGTAGCCAAGAAGCCTGTTGACACTGTGAGGTAAGGGGAGGGAGATGGAGAGACAGATCCAACCCAAACTCACTGCTGCTGTCTACAGAATTAAACCATCATTTCAGAATTTAACCCAATTCATTTGATTCTCTCTCTCTCACCCTCACTCTCTCTCTCTCTCTCACCCCTCCCCTACCCTGCGTCCTCTCTGAAGCCTTTTTATGGAGCGCTTGAGCTTGAGAGCTTCTCCACTCCAGCAACTTTACACCCTTCTCCTTCTCTCCTTTCCTCCCTCTCTCCAAAAAATATCACACATTTGTGCACATTTCCTATTCTGAACATAACAGCTTACCTCACCCTTAGCCTTCAGGGCTGATAGTCATTTAGTCATCAATGACACTGATTATGAAAAATAAAAGCCTCTATAATGTTCATATGATCCACACAGTCACTCTGACAGACTGTAATACACTACAGGAAGTGTAGGGGGCGATATGACTTCTACTGTTTCATTTAAAAAGCTCTATAATGTTCATATGATCCACACAGTCACTCTGACAGACTGTAATACACTACAGGAAGTGTAGCGGGCGATATGGCTTCTACTGTTTCATTTAAAAAGCTCTATAATGTTCATATGATCCCGACAGTCACTCTGACAGACTGTAATACACTACAGGAAGCGTAGGGGGCGATATGGCTTCTATTGTGCAGACAGCTAATCAGTGTAACTAACAAATTTCCGATACCTTCACTGCTGACTGGCTCCGGGTGTACGGAGTTGTCGCTCGGACGCTCCGTCCGTTCCCCCCTCAGCTCGTAGCGGAAGGCCGCGATTCGCCGGCTGATGTCTTGATGGGGCGTGGCCTGCAGGAAGAGGATGGGTCTTTCTCCAGAAGTGACGCTGAAGCAGCGCGTGTGGGCGTGGCCTGGCGCGTCCCCGATCAGCAGCTCCAGCACCCCATCTCGCTCCAGGTAGAGCTGAGCCCCGCTCCACTGCGGCTCCGCCTTCACGCAGACGGACGCTGGAGTGTTACTGGACACTCCCGGCCCAAGCCCCGCCCACAGCGGGCGGGGAGAGAGGGAGAGACGCAGAGCCCCGGCCGGATATAACCACTCGACTGACCCTTCAGCACAGCGCAGAAACACCTGCTCCACACTGCCCTGCAACTGGGATAGACCACTACAGAGAGAGAGAGAGAGAGAGAGAGAGAGAGAAAGAGAGAGAGACACAGAGAGAGAGAGAGAGAGAAAGAGAGAGAGAGAGAGACACAGAGAGAGAGAGAGAGAGAGAGAGAAAGAGAGAGAGAGAGAGACACAGAGAGAAAGAGAGAGAGAGAGAGAGAGAGAGAGAGACACAGAGAGAAAGAGAGAGAGAGAGAGAGAGAGAGAGAGACACAGAGAGAGAGAGAGAGAGAGGGTGGAAAGAAAAAGCGCAAAAGTTGCATAACTTTCAAATTAGAGGACTATTGCTACACACACATACACACACTCTCAAAGATGGTTCTTCAAGGGTTCTTTAGTAAAGACAACGGTTCTATATAGAACCATGAACACTCAAAGAAACATTTACCTACTTAACATGGTTCTTTGCATGGTGAACTGTTTCTTCAGACTGTCAGAGAATGTGTTGTATACGGTTCTATATAGAACCTTTTTGAGAAGGGTTCTATATAGTACCAAAAAGGTTCTTCTATTGTTAGACTGATCGCAAAACGGTCTAAATAGCATCAAAAAGGGTTCTTCTGTACGCTCTTAAAAAAAGATGGTGCTTCAAGGACTATTTAGTAAAGAAAATGGTTCTACATAGAACCATGAACACTACATGATTAAAGGGTTCTTTGCATCATAAAAGGGCTCTTCAGATTGATGGAGAATGTGCATGTATGTGATACAGACGGTTCTACATAGAACCTTTTTGAAAATAGGTTCTACACAGCAACAAAGTGTTCTGCTATAGTTAGAGCCCTTTTGAGTGCTATACAGAACTATTTTGAAAAAAGGTTCTATGTAGCACCATCTACAGCACTTTCTCCATCAATCTGAAGAACACTTTCATGATGAAAAGAAGCCTAAGGGTTCTTTGAGTGTTCATGGTTCTATACAGAACCCTTTACTAAAGAACCCCTGAAGAACCATCTTTTTTAAGTGTGTACCACGTTCTTTAGTGTTCTCTTTAGTGTCCCAAACACAGGGCCTCGGCCTTTCTGTGGGCCACAGAGGCCTTTCTGTCTGCTGAAACAGGAACCTGAAACACAGCCTGGCGTTTGGAACGTGTGGTCAGTCTGATGTGGAGGACACTAAACATCAAAGCAGCCAAACCAAATAAATGAACACAGCTGCTCCTTCTCTCTCCATCCCTCTCTCTCTCTCTCCATCCCTCCCTCTCTCTCTCCATCCCTCCCTCTCTCTCTGTCTCTCTCTCTGGACTGTACAAAAAGCCCTTTTTATCCGCTCAGTTGTGGACAATCAGAGGAAGGCGTTTTGACTGTGTTGTCTCCTGCAGTTTAAAGTATGCTGTGGCTGCTTTGGCTGCTCTTTGATGTTTGGTGGAGACAGTGAAGCGCCCTCTAGAGGCGCCCAGCCGCAGTGCACTGTCACCTATTTAAACCGCTTCACCCAGCCTACAGACAGACAGCACTCCTGAAGGTTACTGCATTATTTAAACATGAATCCATCATTAACACGTCTATATGGAGGAGATGAACCTCCTCTGAGATCGCTGGAGAGCTTAAACTGCTAGCTAGTCCTCTGCTGGCAGACTGGAGAGAGCTCACGGATCTCAACTTCAAACTTTAAAGGCTTTAAACATTAAGCATACTTTAAACTGGGCCTAAATGACCGTAAACTGGACCTAACGCATGTTAAATTTGACCTAACTTTTATTAAACAGAACCTAGCTGACTTTAAACTGGACCTAACCGAATTTAAACTTATATGTACTTCAATCTGGATCTAACGTTATATTAAACTGGATCCAACAGACTTTAAACTGGATGTTCTATACTTTAAACTGGACCTAAATGACATTAAATGTGGATGTACTGGACTTTAAACGGGATCAGACTGATTTAAACTGGGCCTAAAGTACTTTAACCCGATCTAACCGGCCTAATGGACGTAAAGATCAATTTAAACATCACCTTACCTTACTTGAACGCGATCTAATGGGCTTCAACTGGACCTAACGAATTTTCAAGTGGCCCAAAGCGGATCTAACTAAACCTAACGAACTTTAAACTGGACCTAACGACTTTTAAAGTGGCCCAAAGTGGATTTAACCGAAACTGAAGAACTTTAAACTGGACCTAACGAATTTTAAAGTGGCCCAAAGTGGATTTAACTAAAACTGAATAACTTTAAACTGGACCTAACGACTTTTAAAGTGGCCCAAAGTGGATTTAACTAAACCTAACGAACTTTAAACTCGACCTAACAAATTTTAAAGTGGCAGCTTATGTTAACAATATAGGAAAATAAGCTCCAAGTAAAAGTTCTCGAGTTAACGCCAGCTTCTTGTTCGAATTTCGCCGTTCCACCTTAAATGGTGCAGCAGTTACATTCTGGCGCCTCAGGCGTCACGATCAGAACTGTTGCACCATTTAAGGTGGAACGGAAAAATTCGAACAAGAATCTGGCTAATAGGAAGGTTCGTGGTTCCGATTACACGCCGCTGTTTCTCCCTCAGACGCAGCCGTGTTAGCCGGTCTTACCTGCCCCTCCAGCTGCACTGGTCCGCGGTGTAGCTCTGCCTGACCGACAGCAGAAGCAGCTCCAGCAGCCGAACCCATAACAGCAGCCCGAACACCCTCATCTCCAAACTCCACTGCGGATCCAACAGGAACAAAAACACACGCAGTCCGCTCAGCTCCCCGCCGTCCACCTTAATCACTCCTCCGGTTACTGATCACCCGCTCTACCAGTCCCATGGCCCAGTCTCGCTGTGTTTAAAGCCGCTCTAACGCTCTTCTATCGCGGACTCCACCATCACCGCGCTCCTCCACGGTTATACTGACCGCACCGGCAGCTTCTCCAGTGGAGGAATGCAGCCAGCTGACCAATCAGAGACGAGGAGGGGGGAGGTGGCGCTAAACCACGCCCTAGCGTGGGCGAACGACCAATCATAAACACCGCTGCAGACGCAGCACAGAAAGAGACGCTTCTGATTGGTCGGCGATAAATAACATGCAAAGAGCATTTGAAACATAACACTGAGGAACAAGACGAGAGGCTGTCTGCGTGGAGCTAAACAAGAGATGATGGGAGAAAACAGAGGAGATTAAAGGAGGAGAATGAGGATTTACACGATAAAGAGAGAGTTTTTATAGAAGAAGAGTTAGTAGAAACAGATTTTAGACATATTTTAGATATTTTAACAGTTTAAAAAGAAACAAACAAACCCATTTAATGTAACACATGATAAAGAGAACGTGTTCTGACAGAAGGCTGGTTAAGTTAGCTTGACATGAGAAATGTAAAGAAAACTGAAAACTACAGGTGAAAAATTATAAAGTAATGCACACAGTAAAAGCAATATACCTGTAGGTAAGGTATACTCTTAAAAAAGATGGTTCTTCAAAGGTTCTGTAGTAAAGAAAATGGTTCTAGGTGGAATGATAAACACTCAAAGAACCCTCTGCATGATTAAATGGTTCCATGCATCATGAAAGTGTTCTTCGGATTGATGGAGGATGTACTATAAACTTCTTGAAAAGGGTTCTTTATAGCACCAAAAAGGGTTCTTCTATGGTTACAAGCTTAACTTCAAGGTTCTATATAGAACCACCTATAGCACATTCTCCATCAATCTGAAGAACCATTTCATGATGCCAAGAACCCTTTAATCATGCAAAGGGTTATTTGATTGTTCAGGATTCTAAATAGAACCATTTCCTTTAGTAAAGTACTCTTGAAGAACCTTTTTTAAGTGTGTAGAGAAAGAACTGGCAGAACGTGACATCACAATACTTCTGGACGTTTTTATGATACACAATATTTATTTTTTCTGACATCTGATATGTTAGAACAGACAAAGTAGTGCCACATTTCAAAAATATCAAAAATTATGAATACAGTGACTTGTATTTAATATTTCACACGCTGTGCTGCACTAAATGCAATAAAACCGCTTTTTCTGATCAAATATGTGATTGGGAAGTGATTTTAAGTACTGATGATATCCATGATATGCTCAGAGAAGCATATTCTGATATATTTTGATGTAATTGATCAAGATAACAATAAATATTGCCATATTGCCCTGTAAGATAAACACTGCAGTGGAAGGAAAACTGCTAAAAAATGGTATTTAATGAGAAAAAAGATCAGCAGGCACAGACAAAAGAGAGAGGGAGAAAAAAGGAGGGAACTGAAGGTACAACTGCAGAGCGCTAACAGTAGACTAGTAATCCATGATCCCGCAGTTTTACATCATCAGTAGGCAATTTTAATACATGTATTTGTATATGTGCATGTTTAAAAAGAGCAGACAAAGAGAAAATAATGAGGAAGAATGCAAGTTAGAGGAAGAAAGAAAGAGGGGGATGGGGTCTGATCTGAGATAAGCAGAGCTTGGTGCGCTAGCCTTAAGTAAAAGTGCTGTTTAGTGAAATAAAACAAAAGTAAAAGTTCCAAAAAGGTGATTCCTTCATAGTTCAGTGTGTGAGATGTAAACAGAGAGACTCAGAGTGGTTTGGTGTGAAATGGTTCAGATGTCTTTACAGTGGTGGTGATAGGAACCAGGGGTCGCCATGACTACAACACAAATATAGACGTTTTATTTACTATCCAAAACCACCAGTGAACCTACACGAGTCTTCTGAGTTTATATGAAACGCTGATGATAAAATAGTCATAAATCTGAAACAATACATTTTCTTTGGAGACTATTTTTCCTCACAGTGCCCTTCATGTATCCCTCCACCATTAATGGATTAAAATAAATGGACTAAAATACAACTTAAGCCAAAACTTTCCCAGAAAACCATCATAAAACAGTGTCTCAGTCATCAGGCAGTGAATTCATAACCATAATAACTTTCTGTGAGGGAGCTTTTAGAGGTGGACGTCTGGTTCCTATCACCACCACTGTGAACAATTCTGAGTCTATATGTTTCTCTAGAACAGAGCGTTTCACACCAAACCACTCTGAATGACTCTGTTTACATCTTAACCACTTAATTATACAGAAATCTTTGAAAAATGGTGGAGTTCTCCTTTAAGTACTGAATAACCTAGAGGACTGCAGTGAAACTCCTCAATCCATCCATTCACTTTTTGGATCCTTCGGGTCTAAAATGAGAAGATAAAGCTCCAAAGTGAATGAGTGATCAACAGTAAAGTGCTGAACTACTAACTAAACATTAATGCCTGGAATGGAAATGAGGGGAAAGTAGTTCACTCACTAATATAGTTGAGTAGAAATAAAGGTACTATCCTCTGAAAATACTCAGATAAGCAGAAACCTGTCGGGGAGATAAGGGAGCTGAGCTATTAGTGTGGAGCCGAGGCTCAGAGGGAGGCGGAGATAGAGGGAGAGAATGGAGAGAGTGCAGAGAAAATGAATACAGGGCTCTCTGCAGGTCACCCTAATCTACGTTTGGCCCTCGCTGTGCGGCTCTTTCATGTCGTTGTATTAGAAGCAAATCAAATATTCTTTTGTATCACTTCTGCCATCCATCTCTGCAGACTGGGAGTGTGTGAGATGGAGAGGTGTGTGATGTGGTTATGACAGGCTCTTTGACAAGCTCAAAAGCACACGTCCAGTGCTCCTGCTGTGTGTGTGTGTGTGTGTGTGTGTGTGTGTGTGTGTGTGTGTGTGTGTGTCCCGCTGTTCTGCTGTGTATGGGGGGAGGCTTTTGTTCTCTAATGGCCATTTCAAAGGACAAACACATGAAAGGAAAAGTGTGTGTGTGTGTGCACGTGTGTGAATATTCCCCTTTAGAAGATCATCATCCTAATTTTCTAAATCTAAACCAACCCCCAACTTCATCTTCAACATTAACCACTCTTAACCATAAAAACCTAATCGGTAACCCCAAAAGCACCGGCAACCCTAATCCTAACCATAATCAACCCAGTTAATGGCTTTAAAAACAAAGGAACTCTTAATCCTAATCAACCAAACAATAGCCCCCCAAAACACAGGCTATCATAATCCTAACCCTGATCACCCCAATCAGTAACCCCAAAAACACAGACCACCCTAACCCTGATCACCCTAATCAATAACCCCAGAAATGCAGACAATCCTAACCCTGATCACTCTAATTAATAACCCCAGAAACACAGACAATCGTAACCCTGATCACCCTAATCAATAACCCCAGAAACACAGACAATCCTAACCCTAATCACCCTAATCAATAACCACAGAAACGCAGACAATCCTAACCCTGATCACTCTAATCAATAACCCCAGAAACACAGACAATCCTAACCCCAATCACCCTAATCAATAACCACAGAAAAGCAGAAAACCCTAACCCCAATCACCCTAATCAATAATACGAGAAACACAGACAATCCTAACCCTGATCACCCTAATTAATAACCCCAGAAACGCAGACAACCCTAACCCTGATCACCCTAATCAATAACCCCAGAAACGCAGACAATCCTAACCCTATTCACCCTAATCAATAACCCCAGAAACGCAGACAATCCTAACCCTGATCACCCTAATCAATAACCCCAGAAACACAGACAATCCTAACCCTGATCACTCTAATTAATAACCCCAGAAACGCAGACAATCCTAACCCTGATCACCCTAATCAATAACCCCAGAAACGCAGACAATCCTAACCCTGATCACCCTAATCAATAACCCCAGAAACATAGACAATCCTAACCCTGATCTGATAATTATGAATAAATTATTTTTATAAATGATAAATATGGATTGGTTGATTTATTTCTAACTAATAAATATGGATTGATTATAACTGATAAATATAGATTGATTCGGGTAATAACTGATATGTTTGGATTGATTAGTTTAATAACTTTTTATTAATCCAGTTGGTGAGTTACTTTTGTAACCGTGGGCTGATACAGTTTAAGCTGAAACCGTTAGATCAATACATTTGGATTGATTGGTTTGATTACCTGGATTGACTCGTGTGGATTTTACACTTTATGCTGGTAACTTTAAACTAACGTTATTAAGGTTAGCGTTTACACCCTTCAGTCCACAGTGGAGTCATTTAGAGACGCTGAGACGCTGAGTCAGCGCGGGGAGGCTAACGCTGCACTAACGCTGTAACAACGCTGCAGCAACACAGATCAAAGAGAGAGAGAGAGACAGACAGAGAGAAAGAGAGATAGAGTGTGTATGTGTGAGAGAGAGACAGAGAGACAGAGAGAGAGGGAGCGAGAGAGAGAGAGCAGAAGAGCTGAATGAAGTCTGCTGCTATTTTAGGATGAAATAAGATATAAGATTGCTTTCTGTGTGTGTGTGTGTGTGTGTGTCTGTGTGTTTGGGGGGAAGGGTTGCCGGGGGTGGGGGGGTTCCAGAATAAAGTCTAGGGTCTTTTTTATCTCAGTCCAGCTGTGTTTGTGATCTACACACACACACACACACACACACACACACACACACACACATGAGAAACTGCAATGAGAACATGAGTGTCGGTTTTCACAGCTCCGTCCCATGTGGGTTTACAAGGCTGATACAGAGCCGAGTGCGTAGGTGGGAAAGGCTCAGTCTGACAGATTCCACCGACTCACTGGAAACTGCACAAACCTGGAAAATCACACACACACACACACACACACACACACACACACACACACACACACACACACACACAAAACACACACAAATCATTTAGGAGTAATTGTGAATAATTAACTCGTTTTGGTAAATTTGACTGCAAGTCACAATGTTCTGAATCATTACATAAACTATGCTGTGTAATTGATCTAATTATAAACAAATTAGTCTTATCAGCCCTTTAAACCTGTCTGTGTCTGTCTGTGTGTGCGTGTGGGGGTGGGGGTGGGGTGGGGGCAGTTCTTTATGGGGACCAAAATACACCCACGATGATGAAAACCAGCTGTAGACTGAATTTTTTAAAAAGTGTTGCTTTTTGTTCTTTAGCTTAAAGCAACACTATGTCAGATTTGGGGATTTGGAGACCTCTCTGGTGGAAACATGTAATTACACGTGACATGTGGAATGATATGTGGATCGTGGGTTGCGCTTCGGACCCCCCACGAATGAGTGTTTTGGAAGAGAATGCAAAGAGAACTCAGTCTAAACTCGGTGAAGGAGCATCTCTGAGGATATGAGTGAATTATCTACTACTGTCATCACATCTTCATCAGTATGATGTTGATTTTGAGATCATTTGAGATCTAAACATCGAGCCGGATCTTCTTTCAGAGTCTGTGTGTGACGTTAATACATAAAGACGTACGACGTGGTGTGAAAAAGTCCCGCCCGACATCTCTGACTTTTAAATGATGATTTCAGGCTTTACAAGGCGAATCGCAGCAGGACACTCTCACCATATTTAGCCTGTTTTTATTTTCCTCACTTAATAATGCTGCTTCTTTCCGTTTTAATAAAAATATTACAGAGTGCTGCTATAAGGCGGCAGTTCAACCAAACATCAAACATACTCAGTTTCCCCTCTTAAACCAACTGTAGTTGATCACCTAGGACAGGTTGGGTGTCTGAAGTTTGCTTCTTTAGTTTAACACTGTAGCTGCTAATACCTCACCAATCAGTACGGTGCTAAATGCACATCTAAACCATCACCCTTGCACCACAAACCTGTCCAGCAGGGTCCAAAAGTCTGGAAAAATGTGTTTTTTTAATTTAAAGTTGGAAAAAAACA